AACTGCGTTAAAAGCTCGGCCATATCGTATATACACGTGTGTATATCGTCTAAATAAAATATGAAATTGTATATATAATGAACATAAACACGAACTTTTGCCATATTTTCTTATAAATGTCCATATCCTTGGTCAAATCGATTAAATACACATACACCCGAACTAACCTTATACAAACACTGTGATCTGCACGGCATTTCGACATCGACGATATTTTTGTGCGAAAGAAAATAGTCAAATATACATACACACACACATTAAAGTTGATGAATGTACACTAAAGTGTGGTAATTCAATGCAAATTATGGCAAGTGAATTTAATATTCTGGTCTGGCACTGTTCCGACACCGAGACTAACATTTTCTACCATAAAAAAAAGACGAGAAAAAGTGTGGGAAAGAGAAGAAAACGAAGAGACACACAGAGGAATTGGCGAAAAGGCAACGGCAAATTTAATTTTGTCGCGCACCAAGCAACTCAAAGGCAATACCGCACAGAGACACACAAAAAAAAAATAATATTCAACTTATGATCTATATATTTAAGCCATCTCCATTTTAAATATGCTTTTATACTTTCCATATGACCCAAATATGCATATGAGCACGAGCACAGACTACACAGAAGATAGTAGAAGAAGCATTGACTACACAGCCCCAAAGAAAATGGATGATTTAAAAGATAGTCGTCGAATAAATTTGATCGCTGAAATAACTATGACTCAATCCAAGATTTGAACGTGCTTGCCCACAGACAAATAATAAAATATCTAGAGATTTAAGCGAGTGGATAAGAAAATGCGAAGAAAATAAATAAACACTGACCAGGAAGTTTCCTCAATATTTCCATGCAAAGCGTGTATTCATCATAAAATGCTAGCATGTACGGTTGGGCGCTACACACACAAACAAACAAACAAAACATAAAAATACATAGAAAATCCTTGCTCAAAACAAACAATTCCTTTTTCATATTCGCATTCATTGGATATCCAAATTATGATAATCAAAGAACATGCAATGCATAAAAAGTAAAACACAGGATTCACACATACATCCATTTTTATATGAAAACAACGACGAACACACAAGCATAACTTTGAATTTAGCAAGGAGGGAAGAAGAAGAAGAGAAAAAAAATGATCCACAATCGACACAAAATGAAACGCGAACGACTTTAATGTCATGTTCTCACGGCAATACCTCGTTGGGTTGTTTTTTTTTTCTTTTGTACTTTGCATTTGCTTTCAGCTGGTTATATATCTGGCATTTTTTCTTCTTCTTATTGCTGTTATTCGCAACGTTAAAAACAAATGCCGTGGAAAAAGTAGCAAAAAATGAAAAAAAAAAATTATGAAAAATATAAATTATTGCTGATCCATTGATAAAGGTGCGGTGCATTTAATGTTTATATTTCTAAATCGGTAATTATATTTTATGTTCACTTATAATTTGCAGTGTTTGACACAACTAGATAGAAACGAACCCACGCGATTGAAACCTAGTTAACATGAAACTTATTTTTTTCGGGTTCTACCAAATATTTACTCAAATGGCAATCATGCGACGAACCATCCGGATTCCGGATTTCAATCAATTTTTTCGATTCACAATTAAAATCACTTTTGAAAAAAAAAACTCATTACTGATGAAGAATACGGGATAAATGGATATTTTATACTCGTTTCGTTTCGGTTGTTTGTGGGAAAGAGAGAGAGAGAGAGGGTGGTGGTAGAGTATATATGAGAGAAAGTATAATGCAGTTGCTACAGCTCATTTATGTATGCACACGTGGTATTGTCAACTGTTGCATTATAATGCGCTTATTTTAATTCTCGATGTACTTAAAATACAATTTGTAGCACGAATTACACACAACGATCTCCATTCTTCATTATTTGGACATTTTTAATTTTATTAATATTTACTTCAGGCAATTTGTGAATTGCAGTGTTTTTATAAATGCCCATTTATGTTTGCATGAGATTTACTGTGCCGTCAATGCTTTTTTTATCTGGTTTGAGTTTGAAAACTGTGTTTGTCGGCCAATCAAGCCGTGCTCAGCATGGTTTTCGTCATAATTACTTGCACGATATGAATCAACGGCGAGACTTGATTAAAAAAATGATTACGTTTGTTCCATTCGAAAATGATAAAGTGACCAAAGTGGGAAAACTACAGACAACACTTTATCTGGATCGGTCAAAATGAGTTAAACAAGTTTATTAATTTCCATAATTAATTTCGCAACTGTCGTGGACGCACTGACATCACAATAGCCTAACACTGTGTAATGTGATATTTTTTCGCCGTACGACAATTGATTCAATGATATTTTGGCCAAGACTATACGCACTGACGATAATACATAAATAAATAAATGAATCATACGGTGTGCAACTAAACAAAATAAACGCTTTATTGGCGCGACTGTAATCCATGTTGCGTGATAAATCAACATACTTTGGATTTGATTAATTTTCTCAGCCAAAAAATTTTCGACACGACTCAACGGCGACATTCAATTTCAGCTCACCGAAAATGCCGTTCTTCGGGCGAATATACTTATTTTATGTGTAAAGAATCGGGTAAATAATAACTTTATTTTGTTTGTATTCGAATAAAAATTCGTCACCCAAATACAACCTTTTCATTCTTTGCAAAACGAATGCACAATTGAAATGAACTTTTATGGAATCGTACATTATTAAAAATAATTTTACAAATATTTTCAACCATGCGCAGGCAATTCTTTCAGAAAAATGGTTTGAAATTGGTTTCCAATTTTCGCTCAAGATATTATGAGTAGTTAATAACGTACTAGTTATCGGGTCATATTGTGCATTTGTTTAATTTATTATTTGCCCTTCCCCGTTTGCCTCTCCCATGTCCCTCACTGTGTCTATGCACATTTTGATGCATTGCCTTCTATCATTGTGATCTATTTTTGCATTAAAACCGCATTCATATCATTCTAGTTCATCAAATTGCCATATTATCCTTTGTTCAATATAAATCCTAATTTCAGTTTAATTTCCCTTCAGTTGTACTTCAACAAGAGCGATATTGCGGTTTTGATCCGTTGTCTATAAGTAAATGCCAGAGTTATTGTGGAATGCAAAGTTGAAATGAGCTTTATATCTGCAATACAACTAGCCATTGGGTTATTGAGAAGTTTCTTTTTTGTTTTGTGTTGCAACACAAAACATTAACTTGTATTTGGAAATATGGGAAGAAAATTACTGCCTATGTAATCTGTGCTACATATGCAGAGAAACGCAATGCCTTGTCGATTCGAATGAATATTATTTACGTACAAATGATTGTTGCCTAACAATTGATTGTTTTTTTTAATCTTTGCTGAACACTACAAAACAAATGAGAATTGAAATGATTTTGCCTACGCAGGGCAAAAATGACTTGTTGGATATTTTCAGGAAATGATGTACGATTTCAACGTAATTCCCAGGCAAATCGGATACTGTGGTATATGTAATACGGACTGGCTACAAATTTCACCAGATCTTTTTACTCCAATAACTTCTGATTTTGGCATCTGTGTTTACTAAGCGTATGAAAAAAAAAACATTTTCAATCACTTTTGTGATGTTAACAGATTAAAGTCAGATGAATCTTTGATGATCTTTCTGCAAGTAGAGAACATTTTGGTATTTAAATGCAGACGTCTTTTGATTTTCAGCTTTCTGGCAACAAATCACCCACTTGATTTTTTGGTAAATTTTTTTTTGAAAACACTCCCACTCCTTCTTGAATCGCCAACTTAAGAAGCTACGATTATCACTCATGTGTCATGTAAATTTCCGTGATTGCTGGACCAAATTGAAAAATCAGCATTTGGCATGACTTCATTTGATTTTTTATGTTCTATCTATTTACTGATTAAACCTAGGATTAATACGCATACACCCGATATTTGTTGCTTATTATTCCGCCCATGCAAATGAATATTCTCAGCAGATAACATGTCACGATGTAAAAAACAAAACAAAACAAAATTTTAATTCAAGCCGAATTTTATGTCAAATCAGAGTTTGTTATTACAAACGAATTTTTATTCAACAAATAAACTTACAATATCAAAATATAATATGAATTGCGGTGAATGGTGCATGTCATTTATTTATGTCAAACATATTCAAAAATTTAAACTAGATCTCTTTTTTACGCATAAAATTAATCTCAAAATAGACAAGCCGGCTATTGCATACGAATTCAAAATTTACATCGTTGTTTGGTTTTTTTTATTTTGAATGGTAATTTGGAAGATCGGATCCATCATTTTTTCGATTCAAAAACAAAAATTAGCAATGGAGTTTTATTTTATAAACTTTCATCTAGAAAAACTCCATCGCCAATAGAGTGAATGAATGAACTTCTACTCAAATTTCATTGAAATGTAACACAGCTATACAAAAAGTGATGACTAGTCAAAAGAAAAGTCTCACATTCAAATATTAGTTTCAATGACCAGAAAACATAACATATTTTAATTTTACTTAAAAAACCAATGCTAACAGAAATCAATGCTTTAAAAATCTCATTTTTCATGCGAAGCTTTCTCATCACGTGACTTACGTGCGAAATATTTTTGCTTGTCACGATCATATATTAATTCGATTATTTATTAATGTCAATCAATTCCAGACATGCATTTCAAACCTATCAGCGACTTGGTCAACAAATTCATACACTTATCTTATTCATTAAACCACTAACTTTTAAAAACCAGACAATATATTTAGCTGTCGTCATCTGGATATCGTCAGCAGATGATACGATGTGAAAACAATAGAAGTGATTGTTATAGGTATATAAGCTTGTTAATTACTGGTATTACTATAACAATCACTTCTATTGTTTTCACTTCGCATCATCTGCTGACGGCATCCAGATGAGCTGAAATATCCAGATGACGGCAGCTAAATATATTGTCTGTTAAAAACATTCCTTATAGAGGATCATGGCAAGCATTTCATACCGATGCTCATAGTGGTGAGTAATGACAATCGATGCAATTTCATATATATTCTTTAATATTAGTGTGGAAAGATTTTAGAACCGATTATTGTTTCTCCCAAAGGAAATCTGGGAACAATCAAAGAACTACTACAAAACGGAACGGATATTAATGTCAAAGATCATAACGGTCGAACAACTTTATTTACTGCTGCTCAAAACGGTATAAAATTACACTTTTGTTACACCGTCAAAATATAAATGATAACAGATATGCTTGAATATCTTTTTATTCAGGTCGAATTGCTATAGTTGAGTTCTTGATAAATAATGGTGCCGATATAAATCTGAAAGATTACTACGGCGAAGCTCCAACTCACAAAGCAACCTTTGAAGGTAACGAAATATTTAAATAGAGTAAAAATATAAAAAAAATATAAAAAAAAATATATTTCTGAACATTTCATTAAAATAAGGTCACGAGCGTGTTGTTGAAATATTAATTAAGTATAGTGTTGATGTTGGTGCCAAAGCAAAGAGCGGCATCGCTGCAATAAATATCGCCACTCAAAAAGGTAATTTTGATGTCATTGGATTCTCTTAAAATATACCTTAAAATGTGTTACAAAATAATGTCTTTAGATTATGAAGGAATCGCTGAATTTTTACTCAATAATGGAGCAAATATCAACAATAACGATGGAGAAACTGCCTTATTTACTGCTTCGAATTTTGGTAGTTTAATCGGAAATTGATTTTGCTTTTGTCACATTGTCAAAGAGATATTTAAAGAACTAAAGTTATTTTTCTGCGATAGACTGGTTCAAATGTTATTGGAACACGGTGCGAATGTTAATCTTTCAAACAACCACGCAGAAATATATCTTATACAGCGCCACTTCAGCAGGTCATTTTCAATAAAAATGTCATTTTTTCATAGATAAAATAAAAATAAGTTATTCTTATTCGAAATATAGGCTTTGACGATATCGTTGCAGTGCTTGTGCAAAATAGAGCCGATGTGAATAAACAAGCTCAAAATGGTTGAATCAATGGTTGTGGAAATTCTATTGAGATATCAACTGACACGAAGTGACTCAGTACAGCGTTGTTCTAATATTAAACTTTTATTTTCTCTTGTCGAAAAATCTAGTTGTGACTTTTACAATAAATAAAAATGATTTCCATGAATATCGTAACAAGCAAAGTAAACTTTTCCTCTCGAATCGTCATTGTATAATATTTAAAAACTCGGTTTTAAAATGCTTTTACAAATGAAGTATGTTGTTTGTTTGTAAAAATGCGCATAGTCGTCAACCGCACCATGTCAATACGCCTGACATTGTGCGTTATCTGATGTGATTACTCCTAAAGTGTTTGGTGTTGAGAAGGGACATTGAAGCAATGCTATAGGCAAAAATCTACACACTGATTGCTATGCAGAGCGGAGCGTTTACCGTTTACACCCCACAAGAAAAATAAACGATGGAAAACAAAACATTATCATCCCGAGTAACGAACAAAAATACAAGCATTAAAATTGTTGCGCGACCTACTGTATGCATAAAATGGACAGACTCACGATTGAGTCACCAATGAAAGTTCTCTTAACAATTTGCAATTGAACTCGATGAACGCAAAAATTGTCTGCATGGAATTGTCCGTGTTCTCATTCTAAAAATGCTAAAGGCTGACAAAGTGACACGCACAGTACCATTTTCCACATTGTTTTCGTTTACCTTTTTTTTATTGAGCATTTGGTATGATTCTTGCCAAACTTTTCTCAATATGTATGCCTAGCAGTGTATGTGTGTTCGTGCCTTTCATTCAGCGTCATGTCACAGAATCTTGCGGAAATGAAAAAGGAAACAAAACCAAATGTACGATAGAAAAACATTTCATTTTTGCTGTTATTGCATATTGCGTTTTGTGCACGTGTCTGTAGAAGCTTACTGTGATTTGTTCCCTTATTTTGGTGAATCCTCGACCAAAAATAACCATTAACGTGTTTTACTAACTATAAAATCAGTAATCCTAACCATTTCTCACATTCTGTGTTTGGAATTCGCATTTGCACCTTTCATAAAGCGCAGATAGAGAAGCGCAATTTCATTTTACCATCCATTCATCTCGTGTCCGATTCCAAATGTCTGCTGTCTGAATGTAATGAAGTGATGTTTCACATGTAATCTGCTCTCTTTCGTGCGCGCAAAAATTACACTTTAATCAAAAGCATTTTCCAGCCGTTTTGGCTGCATTGTGTGAATTATTCCAACGCTGTTGTTCTCTTTTTTTTGTTAGCCGTCAGCGAAAATGTGCTATTGCATGGATTAAAGCCCATCAAATTAATGTTATGTCCTTGACAGTGAGGCATTTCTCATAAAACTTCGTTTACGTTTAAACATACAAACAGTTGGAAGCGTTTTTTCCAGTGAATCTTGTGTTCGGTTATTTAGGCGAACATTTTAAATGTAATCACGAGAGCAAAACACAGTCATTCAAAGCGATAAAATGTTTGAAGGGGAGCTAAACGAGCACCGTCCACGGCAGCTTCAGTAAATAAACACATTTATGCATATAACCGTAAAAATGAAACATCCGACAACAATATTTTTATACTTATAATAGAAACTGGTCGACGAGAAACGTTTTCATACACAATCACACCCAACACCCGCAATATCATCGAACGTTTCACCTTTTTTCTTCGTCTTCATCACCATTGATTGTGTTCAAATGATGTGTTCCATCTTTTCGCTTGAAAACAAATTTACCAGCATCTTTGGAGGCGCACAACAAATACTATAATTCGAATGACACTCAACCTGACACTGTCACATTCAATACATGCTTATGCGATGATAAATTCGCCATTCAATAAGTTTAAGTAAAATCAGAAAGCATTCGCATCGGCAGCAACAAGAATCGAGACATGCCATAAGGCCATACATAAAAGAGCATATAAAAGCAAGAATTGAACATCGAAAGGAGACTGGAGAGTAAAATGTAACGGCGATTTACCGAATACGAACGATGTAATACATTGTGTGTGTTCGTGTGATTTGATAAAGAGTCAACAACATTTTAACGACATTGACAAAAGCGGAGGAAAAGCAGTTCATGAACTTTGTTTGTTTAGATTGCTGTCTTAAGTAGATGTCTCAATCTCGTTAGTTTGTTCATAAAAATAAACATGAATTACGGGTGCCGAAGCCACGAAAATCGGTAACAATTTACAGCCATTCCTTTTTGTCCACAATTTTTTTTGGAGAGGAGTTTGTTTTTGGGATAGGCTTTACAATGAGTAATGAACACGGGTATTTTGAGTTTAACTTGTTACATTCAACTATCCCAGTGGATCGATTTTTGATGTCGCTGCTTCTGCTATTGCTATTGTTTTTGTTGCTATTATTCCACACAGTTTGTACTTCAAAGGTCAAGACTCCCGAAATTAATGTAATAATTTCAATAACATCGACAAACGAAATAAATAAATTATAATTGCCTTTCATTTGAACTGAATTTCGACACATAAATGTAAGCGTTGATATCAATTATATCTGCGTAGAAAATTGTAAACAATTTCTCTATGTTACTGACATATGCTTAATTTATATATACAGTCGACAAAACGAAACCACCGAACTTTTACCATTCTTTCATCTGTGCAAATAGCATAAAAACGGTATAACGATCCGATAAAAATGTTCCTTCTATCGTGTTCATAATTATTTACTTCTAGTCAAAGTCATCGACATCATTTTCACATTAAGCAATTCAACGAATGACCGGTGTACAAAACTTTTATGCCGAAGTTTATGTAACAAATTTATTTTATAAATAAACCGAACGCATAAATCCTTCGATTTTTGTAACCGGGAGAGGGGGAGGGAGAGAGAGAGAGAGGGAGGGAAAAAGAAAAAAAAACGAAAGCCATACGGCACTTGTTTAACTGCTGGGTCATTAGCCGACAGCCATATGCAAATAAATCCGGTGGAAGGCTCAAATTAGCAATTACAAGTAAATTATCATTCACCGGGACTAATGATAATTTACATTTTAGATCGCTGTTGATGCTGCCATTGCTGGTTTTTTGCTCATTCGTCTATCATCATATGGTTTGTTTATGCGATTGCGGCTCTATTTAATTCTCATGGAATAATTTAGTGATTGCTTTAGTTTTGACCATAAATATATGCGAGAAAATCATAAATTAATACAGTCAATGTTTGTTATATAGCCGAAGTGATTCGGAAAATCCAGTGTGTTGGTAGCGTGTTTTTGTATGTGTATGTGTGTAAATCGTTGGTGCACCAAACATAAATCGTCAGTGACCAGCGAGAATATTTATGCCTTGTTAAATGATAATTATGCCGATTAAAAGTTGTGTGTATTTTTTTCGGTGTTTCAATGAAATGAATTTCCAATGCAATACAATCCGAAATAAATGCATGTAAATTGAATGGATTGTTGGCGTCAGAGTGAATGAGTGAGTGAGAGCAGTCTTTTTAAAGCAAATATTAAAAACGATTTGTTTTGGTTGTGAATAAAATGTGAACTTAATTGTATCGCAATTTTCCATGAATATATCGCATTTACAGAAACACTTTAGCCGCTCATCGAGCCAATACATGATTGAACTATAACCAACATATTCATTCACACAAACACCACACACACACACACACGTTCACTTTGTTTACCATGTAATCGCAATACATAATGACACCGATTTAAGTGCTTTTTATTGCATTGACATCGTGCAAATCTACAACTACACGAAAACGGCATTTGCCATTTTTGAACAACAAAAGCATACTCAAAATATATGTAAAACAATCCAATTCAAATAAATTGCAAATTATTTTAATTTAGAGTTTGAAATTTACATATGCAAAACAAGTAATCGGTATGCTGGAATAAAATGCAGGAGAAATTCCGTAATTTTCAATTCAAACCAACAATATTGTACAGGAAAAATAGCACCAAACAACGCAAAACAAACATGAAACATATCGTTTGTTGTTGTTAGGTTTTCTTTACTCTCGTTCTCCATATCCCTCTATCGTCCAGCTTTTTGTCCTACTTTTTCTATTGAAATGGACGCTTTCCAATCATCAAAGTTTCAATTCATATTTATTCAGGATTAAAATTCGATTTTCACATCGATTTCCACTTGAATTTGTTTAAATTCGTTTATTCTTTAAACATTACAAACCATTTCTCTGAAAACAACCACTTTGCAGGTTAATTATTTACTTGACTTCATGTGTTTTTCTCGCCATGCATTTTATTGTTTGTTTCAAAACAAAATCTGGATCACGAACTAAAACTAAAAAACGTATAACCCAATATCTGTCCCACATTCATTGCAGTAAAATTGCGCTTTTTCATTTTCCATATAATAGAAATCAAATGGCATAGCTATTTAAAACGATCAAATAACAAATTCGAATAGAAAAAAACGACCAAAAACACGCGCCGAATTCGTGCAATTACTACCACTTTTCTGTTTTTGTGATTTTGACGGTTACTTTGTCGCTTGGATTTGTATTTACTTCTTTCCACTTCATTCACATGGTATTTATTTTTAGTCGGTAAAATGTTGAACGGTTTTTGCCACCTCACATTTTTATATGTTTTTTCGAATATATATTTTTTTGTTATTACAACTGATACACAGACTTTGATTATGCAATGTTCAGTTCAAGCTGTGGCCTGCAGGCGTATTAACTACTATATCTAGGTCATCCTA